GATGAGGCTTTCTGCTCCCGTAAAGATTTATAGCCTCAGAAACCCTGGGCAGGGTCGCTATGAGTCAGTACCGACTCCACCACACACAGCCACTATATATATATATATGAAACTTTCCAGGTAAACCATTTTGTAGCAGTATCTGTTTAGATAGCCCCATCCTCCCTTGCTTTAGAATATCTGTTGGTTGCTGTGTATTTAAACATTTTTTTTTTCATATTCATATATATATATATATATGAAACTTTTCCAGGTAAACCATTTCTATCTATCTATCTATCTATCTATCTATCTATGTATCTATGATCTATCTATCTATCTATCTATATCTACATAAAACTTTACAAGTAAACCATTTTGTAGCGATATCTCTTTGGATATATATTGCTGTTATAAAGTATCATCAAGTTCGTTCTATTGCACAGCAACCCTGTACAGGGTTTCTGAGACTTTTTAAATATTTGTGGGATCAAAAGCCTCATGTTTCTCCTGAGATGTGGCTGGTGGGCTCAAATGGCAGACCTCGTGGTTCACAGTAAAGTACTTTACCCTATGGAGTCACCATGCTCCCATACACATGGTCTGACTCAGAGTGACCCTGTATATGGTTTTCAAGGAACAGCTGGTGGGTTTGAACTACCAACCTGTGGTTACCAGTGCAGTACTTACCCTACAGTGCCACAGCAGAATTTATATAAATATATATGTAAAACTTTTAATTTTGGTTTGGGTGAAAGTTTACAGAACAAACTGGTTTTTACCTGGTAAATTCTTATCCAACATACTTGCTCCCTAGACTTTACTTCTACAACAAACAAAAAGTTCTTTAAGACAATATCTAAAAAATGTTCAATCTAAACTCTACTTAAGTATCTAGGGAAATATAAATCTTTAAAAAACACATACTCTTGACTGGAAAGTTATGAAGTCATAAATAAACTGGTATTAAAGAAAATACTATAGTCCTGGTAATATAATCTGTACCAATAATCTGAACTCATATAACCATATAGTTAAATGTAAACATATGGAAAACCAACCTCTCGGTTATTACCTTTCTAAATATAATTTTCACAGGTAAAAAGAGAAGCCTTCCTAAAATTGATGTTACCTGTTCGAACAAATAATTTAATCTGGTACGTACCCCTCTTTTCCTTTCTTAAATCTCCCAGGACAACAGAAAATCTGCTTTGAGACAAATCCTATCAGGCCGGGTATTCTCTTCTTGGCTCCTTCCCATTTGTACCTTCAACTTGAATCACAAGTTGTTACTGGTGCCCTGTGAACATTCAGGTCAAGGCACTCTGGCTCCTAACTAGACTGCTGCTTTAGGCACTGACCAGACCTTTTATTTATACATATGTATTTTTTTCACATCTCCCTTCCCTTTCCACTTGCTAACTCCAACAGCCTTTTTCAAACAGCAAAGCTCAATAAATAACTGTTGACTTCACAAAGAAAATCAACATGCACTTTCACACCAACTCTGCCCCCACAGCAACAGTTCTGAGTACCAAGAACAAGTCCTACACCTCCCCCCTTCAAATAAAGCTATCGTCACAAGCACCCGCAAAGATAGCACCCTCTTTTTTCTAAGTCCTCACAATCACTCTCTGGAGTACCCAGAGGCTGCAATCTAAAAGGTTGAGGATCCAAGCCTACATAGATGAAGGTTAAGTTGTAGAATAAGCACTAGACTGCTAACCAAAAGTTGGTGGTTCAAGCCTACCAGCTGCTCCTCAAAAATCCTATACTGGGTCTCTATGAGTCGAAATCGACTCAATGGCACTTAACAAGAACAAAAGAAGTCAACTTGGTTCAGCTTACTCATTAGCCCTGGATTTTAATAATGGATATGGCTCCTGCCAGTTAGTTGAGGTTAAAATGAGGCACAGACACAAAATCCGTCTGTAATAAAGCCCTAGTTGTCTTGGTTACAAAGATAAGCAGCTGTTTTAAATACAACCAACTGAAAGCTCTTGAGTCCTCGTGTGGCGCTGTAGGATAAGCACTGTACTGCTAACCACATCAAACCTATCAGCTGCTCCTTGGAAACCTTTTACAGGGTCGCTGTGAGTTGGAACAAATTCTATGGCACTTAACAACTGAACATGAGTCCTTCAAACGTCAAATTTTTGATTACTCAAGACTAAGCGTAATTAATGCTTTGAAAGTCACGTATCTGTAACACAAGTACTGAAACAAAATTTTGAACAACTGTGAAATAAAATAGTAACAATTTAGTTACATAATCTGCCTCTTTCCATCTAAGCCAAGGAAGAAAGTAGCAGTAGCAATAATTACCTTTACATCCTTAGCTATCCTTAAGTGTCAAAATAACTTTCTGAACACTGCAGGTACATGCTATCTTAACAATTCCAGACAGTGCCCATCTGATTACAGGCTTTGGGGGGAGAACAAAGTGAGCACCCCCTGATGTTTCTCAGCAGGGCTTACACCTATCGTTAGGAAATCACTTGGCAAACCTGCATTTATCATTTTTTTAAATCTGTGTTTCACTTTCCTTTTAATTACCACAGACAATCTCTAGAGGGACATTGAGAGAGGCTCAGATGAACTCATCCTGGTTGCTAGAACTTGGCTATAAACTATTTTGATGAGACCTTCGCTGTCTCTTTAAAAGAACAAACTACACTGATTCCACAATTCAGCTTTTAACACTCTCCTGAGAGGAATGCAAAGAGATGGGGGCAAGGAGGGAGAGAAAAGACATGCTATATAATGAATACAACCATCCTTTAATTGGAGTGATCTGGCCTTTCTCCTTCAGACTTTCTGGGTTGGGTTCAGAAGAAGACAATGCCTCAAAAAACACTTATTTAAGCATATGGTCCCCACTGGAATAAGAACACGCAACAACTGGCTACCGCCTCATCTACAGGAGCTATCAATCCTGAGTTCAACTAAAAGAAAAAGCATGGCAGAATTTAATGTCGGCTAGGAGTCCTGGTGTGGCGCTGTGGGCCAATGCGTCAGACTGCAAAGTTGTTTGAACTGCAAGGTTGGTGGTTCAAAGCTCACCAGCTGCTCCTTGGAAACCCAATACAGGGTCGTTATGGGTCAGAATTGACTCGACGGCACTTAACAACAGCAACAACAGTGAGAAGACACATTGTACGAGTTAGATCAGTTGTTGTATAAAAGAAATTTCATTACATGAAAAGGAAAAAAAGTTTTAGAAAACTGCCCTTAGTTTTCATTATCTCTATTAATATCAACTGGTTTATTTTGAAGGGCTTTTCTGAAGTGACTACCTTCATTATTTCTATTAATAGCAACTGGCTTATTTTTTGTGTAATTTTTTGAAGTGACTACTTTCTAACCTAGAATTCTGAGCTCTGATAGGTCATCCTGTTACAAATGAACTGAAAAATGGCAGGGGACATTTTGTTTGGAGTCTAAATCATTTGCCTCCTCGTGTGAAGGAGTTTTGAGAATCAATGAAGGTGTTCTACAGACAAAGACCTCTGCTGAAAGGCTGAGGACGCTGTTCTATGTTAAATCTAGAACAGTGTGCCCCCATAAAGCAAAAATATATATACAGGTGGTGGCTGTTAGGTGCCACCAAGTCGATTCCAACTCATAGCGATCCTGTCATAGGGTTTCTAAAGCTGTACGTTTTTACGCGAGCAGAAAGCCTCACTTTCTCCTGCAGAGCAGTTGGTGGGTTTGAATTACGGACTTTGTAGTTAGCAGTCCAGTGCTTATCCTACAACTCCACCAGGGCTCCCATAAATACAAGTAAGCACCACTTAACATCCTCTGTATGTTCTGTGAAATAGGACATTACGTGATTTGGACATTGTGTGAACACCATATTAAAACCTTTTGAGAGCCGGCTTCCAGCGGTCTTAGTCACTGCTGTCTGAAGGAACCAAAGGCAGCAGTGATAGAAGACCCAAGCTGGGAGAGCACACAGCATACCCAGCTCTGCTCACTGCTCTGCCCACTGCTCTGCCTACTGTTCTGCCTACTGTTCTACCCACTGCTCTGCCCACAGTTCTGCCCACTGCTCTGCCCACTGTTCTGCCCACTGTTCTGCCCAGTGTACAAAGCCTGTGCCCAGAGCCATGTCCTCTGCTTCAGCTGCTTAGATCCCACCCATGGTCCAGTGTTGCAAGAAACTGATGTTGGGGTCTTTAATACCATTATCATGTTGTTGTTGTTGTTGTTGTTGTTGTCAGGTGCCATCGAATCAGAACCAACTCATAGCGACCCCATGCACAGCAGAACGAAACAATGTCCGATACTGGGCCAACCTCACTTGACGCCATCAATGATGTCACCTGGCTGATCCATCTCATTGGGGGTCTTCCTCTTTTTCTCTGACCCTCCACCTTACCCAGCATGACATCCTTCTCCAGCAACTGTTCTCTCCGGACAATGTGTCCAAAGTAGGAGAGACGAAGCCTAGCTATCTTGGCCTCCAAGGAGCACTCTGGCTGCACTTCTTCCAAAACAGATCTATTGGTTCTTTTGGCAGTCCATGGCACTTTCAGTATTCTCCTCCAACACCACAACTCAAAGGCATCAATTCTTTTATGGGCTTCCTTATTCACTGTCCAGCTTTCGCATCCATATGAGGTTATTGAAAATACCATGGCTTGGGTCAGGCGCACCTTAGTCCTCAAGCTGACATCTTTGCTCTTCAATACTTTAAAAAGTTCCTGTGCAGCAGATTTGCCCAATGCAATACGTTGTCTGATCTCTTGACTGCTGCTTCCGCAAATGTTGATAGTTGATCCAAGAAGAATGAAGTCCTTGACAACCTCAATTTTTTCTCCATTGATAAGAATGCTGTTTATCATGGTGGTGGTTAAATACCACTGAGTCGATTCTGAGTCATAGCGACCCTGTATGAAGTTTCCAAGGTGTGGCTGGTAGATGTGAACCACCTTGCAACAAGCAGTCCACTGCTTATCCTACAACACTATAGCTGAAGTCTACATTTAAAGTCACTGTTGTTGTTGTTATTAAGTGTCACTGAGTCAGTTCCAACTCATAGTGACCCTGTACAGGGTTTTTGAGGAGCGGCAGATGAGTTTGAACACCCAACCTCGCAATTCAAACCGACCCTTCAGTCCAGCGCTTATCTTACAGTGCCATACTAGGACTTCTGAAAACCATACGGGGAAATAAAAAACAAAAGGAGAGCTACTAGCTCTTTAAAAAACAAAACAAAAGATCTTTTGGAACCACTGGTGGTCAGTGTACATGCGGTCAGACGTTGCCTGAATGGAAGGTAAGAAAGGGATACCTGCAAATGTGAATAGGTGGCTCTGTTGATGTGATCATACTTGGAAATCTCGTTTTTCTTTAGTTGTGTTAATGAGGTCATTCCATGTAGTGGAGATCCTAAACCTAATCACATATGACTTAAAGAAAGACCAGAACAGACAGAGACATGAGGCAAAGACAGATACCATGAATCACCAGTAGACACCACAGACTAGGAGAGAGGCTAAGCTAACACTTGGGAGGATTCAGTCCTGGTGTGAAGAACTAATAGGCAAGGGTTTACCTGCACAGTAGCCATCCACTGTACTCCATGGGCTGCCGGCTTGCTCTCCACAGAACAGAGAACAAAGACCAACCCCAAATTGAACAGAAAAACAGTAAGCTGGATGTAGCACCACCCCAAATGGCTGGAGTAGCTGAAAAAAATCAGAAGCCCTAGGCCCTGGGCCCCACTTTTGGTCCACACACTCATTTACTCTTTGCACAAAACAGAGTGTAAAAGCAACCTTTAACCTTTCAAATCAAAAAGCCTAGTATCTTCATCAGTTCTAGCATGACAGTCCCATTTCTAAAACTCCATTTGTGGGTTAAGTCGACTTTTGTGGGCTGATATAGAAACTGAAATCTTAAACCCACTAAAATTTTAGGTCAGGGTTGCCAGCTAAACAAAAAGAAAAAAAATCACTGTAAAGTCAATTCCAACTAAGGGCAACCCCACATGTCAGAGTAGAGCTATGCTCCATAGGACTTTCAGTGGCTGGTTTTGGGGAATTAGATCACCAGATCCTTCTTCCATGACACCTGTGGGTTGACTTGAACCGCCAACCTTCCAGTTACTCACACCTCCAACCTCCTAGTTACTCAAACCTCCAACCTTCCAGTTACTCACACCTCCAACCTTCCAGTTACTCACACCTCCAACCTTCCAGTTACTCACACCTCCAACCTTCTAGTTAATAACCAGGCACAATCAGGGACTTCTGTCAGCAAAATGAAAACTAATAGGGGCGGGGGGAGGGATGACAAACTTCTACTAATAGATTCTACTTTGAAACAGATTTTAATCCACATCAAGAGATGAGCATCTAGTGTATGAAACAGTAGGGGGGGGGGATGTCCCGGGGGGCCAGGAGGAATAGCGAACACACATAGCTTTAAAAAGAAAGAATATTTTGTAAAAATCATAAGTTATTGGTCTAGGATATGTAACAGACTTGTTCCTTGTAGCCCAATGACACCAATTCTGAGCAGCAAGTAAATCCTAAACCTGACTGTATTCTGTTTGGGTCATATAGTTAAAAAACAGATTCAGCCACTAACCTAAGGTCGTCTAGTAGATGCCTGCCAGACAGAAAGATCCCTTTCTGTCAAGACTTGATCCCTAATCAAGTCTCCAGGCAGTAGCAACAAAAAAGGAGAAAAGCATCCTTCATCAATCCACCCAGAACAATACTATCTGATATTGAAGATTATTATTTTATTTTAAAGTTGACTTACTGAATCTTCACACCACAATGCTTTCTAAAGAACATTCTTAGAGTATGCAGTTAAGGCACTAGTATGTAGCCTCTAAAGTTAGCCTGGGAACCATGGTGTGGTGCTGTATAGTAAGCACTGGGCCACTAACTTTAAGGTTGATAGTTCAAACCCATCAGCTACTCCACAAGAGATAAATGAGGCTTTCTGCTCTCATAAAGATTTATGGCCTCGGAAACCCTATACAGGTAGCTATGAGTCCAAATTGACTCAGTGGCAGTGAGTTTGTTTATTTAAAGTTACCCTGGAGTCCCACGGTGGTACAAATCATCACGTGCCTGCTACCAACTATTGACGATTCCAGTCCACTTATATTGTTGTTATGAAGTGACATGGAGTCAATTCCAACTCATAGCGACCCCGTATAAGGTTTCCAAGGTTTTAAATCTTTGAAGGAGCAGAAAGCCTCATCTTACTCCTGAGGAGTGGCTGGCAGGTTTGAACCACAAATCTTGTGGTTCGCAGTCCACTGCTTACTGTATGGAGCCACGGCACTCCCAGTCCACATATAGGCACATGGGGGAAAAGTCTACATGGGGTGATCTTCTTCCCCCAAAAAATAAAAAAACTGCCACCTATGAAACACAGTCCTACTGACCCACACAGGACCATCATGAGTAGAATCAACTTGGCTGCAATTGTTTTTTAAAACTACCTTGTGCCATTGTACAACATTGCGGAAAATGAGTATTCCGGAACACTTCACTGTGCTCATGAGAAACATGTAAATAGACCAAGAAGCAGTTGTTCAAATAGAACAAAGAACACCAAATGGTTTAAAATTAGGAGAGGTGTGCACCAGGGTTGTATTTTTTCATCATACTTATTCAATCTGTATGCTGAGCAAATAATTCAAGAAGCTGGATTATAGTGAAGAAAAACAGCATCAGGATTGGAGAAAGACTCATTAACAATCTGTAATATAAGATGACACAACAGTGCTTGCTAAAAGTGAAGAGGACTTCACTTTACTGATGAAGATCAAAGACCACAACCTTTAGTATGGGTTGCACCTCAGTGTAAAGAAAACACAAATCCTTACCACACATCCAATAAATAGCATCCATATAAATGGAGAAAAGATTGAAGTTGTCAAAGATTTCATTTAGCTCAGCTCAGCCATCAACACTCAAGGAAATAGCAGTCAAGAAATCAAACAATGTACTACATTAGGCAAAACTTCCGTACATGACCTCTTCAAAGTGTTCAACAGCAAAGATGTTAGCTTGAGGACTAAGGTGCACCTGACCCAAGCCACAGTATTTTCAGTAACCTCATACGCATGTGGAAATTGGACAGTGCATACAGCAGGCTGTGGAAGAATTGATGCATTTGAGTTATGATGCTGAAGGAGAATATTAAATGAACCATCGACTGGCCAAACAACAAACTAATCTGTGTGGGAAGAAGTACAACCAGAATTTTCCTTGGAAGGCAGGATGGCCAGACTTCGTCTATAATACTTTGGGCATATTACCAAGAGGGACCAATCCCTGAAGGGTATCATGTTTGGTAAAGTGGAGAGTCATAGAAAAAGAGGAAAACCTCCAACTAGATGGATTTGCACAGCGGCAACAGCTATCAGCTCAAACATGGTAATAATTGTGAGGTTTTGCAGGACACAGCAGTGTTTCGTTCTGTTGTGCATAGGGTTGCTGTGAGTCAGTACCGACTGGCACCAAACAACAACAACCTTGTACCACAAAGGAATTCACAGTCCATACCCTATTTCCCCTGCTGACCAAACCAGCCTTTTATTAGAAGATGTATTCTAACCTTCTAGCTTCAGGTTCAAATGACTATTTAAAGAAACTAAGTATTTCAAAATTGCTGGGACACCTGAGGACTTGAATGGCTGCGCTAACTCAATAGGGTGCTACAGAATCAAGGAAAATGCAAAAGTGGTCTTGCTATCCAGAGTTAAACTCCTGTGCAAGGATTTGGAGCTAAAATACCATGCCCTTGACACTTATTAATAATGACTGGCAATGACACAGAAAATAAGCTAAAAGATATAAGTAAAAGTGGACATATAAGCGAAACCTAATTTTTCTGTAGGTTTTAGTCAGCATAACCTGGATGAAGGCTCCAGGAGCAAGTGCCTTTTCAATAATATGATCTCTTCACAGATCAGAACACAGCAGTGAATGATCATGTTTGTCAAAAGAAAAATGTCATGAGCAGCTCCATGGTCAATTACGCACTGATGAAAACTGGAAGCTTATACACGCATATCCTATAGTTGAGAGATACACAAAAACTGGAGCTGGAACTCAAAAGAACCTTCTAAGTCATGGCAGATGAGGGTCAAGGAGGTTAATGACTCATCCAGCAAGGAATCAAATTCAGCCTTCC